ACAGATCAATGGATATTGGAGATTATACAATCTGGTTACACCATCCCTTTCACAACCACCCCACCACCATCCCCCTTCCCCATCCCTCCTCAGGAACCCCTCTCACGAGAACCTTCTGCAACAGGAAGTAGACTACCTCCTACTGCTGGGTGCTGTAGAACCAGTACCACACCAATACCGAGGGAAGGGTTTTTACTCCAAATATTTCCTGACAGAGAAGAAAGGAGGGGGATGGCGACCAATCTTAGATCTCCGAAAACTCAACAGGTTCGTATGCAACCACAGGTTCAAAATGGTCACTCTGGCCACAATAATCCCAGTGCTAGATGGGGAGGACTGGTTTGCAGCCCTCAACCTCCAAGATGCATACTTCCATATTACCATACATCCTGCCCACAGATGGTTCCTGCAGTTCACAGAAGGACCCAACCACTACCAATACAGGGTCCTTCCCTTCGGACTATACACTGCTCCCTGCATAGTCTCAAAAACAGTCGCGGTAGTAGCAGCAGATTTATGATGCAAAGGAGTCATAATCTTCCCCTATTTAGACGATTGCCTACTCAAAGGTGCCAATCGACAAGAAACGGCATGCATGCTGAAGACGACAATAGACCTGTTTCACCAGCTAGGTCTACAGATCAACAAAAAGAAATCCACACTAGAACCAACCCACTGACTGGAGTTTATCGGAGCCAACCTAGACTCCATACAAGCCAAGACAATATTACCAAACCACAGATTCACTACATTGACAAATCTTATTTCCACAGTGACCATCAGTCCACAAACTTCAGTGAGGACATGCCTTCAGATTCTGGGACATATGGCAGCTACGACTTTCGTAGTAAAGAATGCCAGACTCCATATGCGCTGTCTGCAGCACTGGTTGAGCATGGTCTATTCACCCAGCAAACACTCTCTCAACAGATGTGTGACACTACCACCAAGGGTTATTCTCTCCCTACAGTGGTGGGCACAACCAGGGAATGTATGCTCAGGGATTCCTTTCAACAAGACCCCCGGTCAGTGACTATTACAACAGATGCCCCTCTGATAGGTTGGGGCTCTCACTTGGGTCACCACAATGTACAAGGCAAGTGGTCCATGACGGAAACCTGACTACATATCAATCTCCTGGAACTTCGCGCGGTACACAATGCATGCCGCCACTTCCTCCCACTCATATGACAGACCTCAATCTCTATTCTCACCGACAATGTGGCGTGCATGTTTTACATCAATTGCCAAGGGGGAGCCAGGTCTCACTCGCTATGCATAGAAGCCATGAACTTATGGAACTTGTGCATCCGCGATAATATAAATATCACAGCGTCATGCCTACCGGGCTGCCAAAACACTACAGCTGACAACCTCAGCAGGCACTTCTCACAGGAACATGAGTGAGAAATCCATGACAGTGTTCTCAGCACGATATTCCAAAAATGGGGTCACCCAGTAATCGACCTGTTCGCCTCAGCAACAAACTACAAATGTCCACTCTTTTTTGCTCTAGGGCAGGCCTGGTGCTGGAATCATTAGGGGATGCCTTCCTCATCCCGTGGAACGCGTTGCTCATGTACGCCTTCCCGCCGATACCGCTGATCCCACGGGTCATCCGCAAGATATGACTTGACAGAGCATACATCATTCTCAGTGCCCCACAATGGCCCAGACAGACTTGGTTTCTGTACTTGTCACACCTAGCAGTCTGTGCCCCACAACCGCTGCCCTTACGAACGGACCTCCTATCCCAGAACAAGGGCCTGACACTCCATCCAAACCCAGCAAAGCTCCATCTCAAAGCATGGCTCCTGTGTGGTTCCAACATGGAGAATTGATCTGCTCGGAGAAAGTAAAACAGGTATTACTAAATAGCCGTCGCCTCATCACTAGAAATACTTACCGCCACAAGTGGAGAAGATTCTCCCTTTGGTGTCAGCAAAAACAGCTGGATGCCACCAAGGTGCCTCTATCTATGATTCTAGACTACCTACTAGAACTGAAGGAAATGGGGTTAGCCGTAAGTTCTATTAAAGTACACCTGGCTGCCATCACGGCCCTCCATGAACAGATAGAAGGGGCTTCAATATTCGCTCACCTGATTACACAGTGCTTTCTCACAAGCATACAGAACATGTACCCAGAAGCACGCCAACCTACACCACAATGGGATCTCAGTCTTGTGCTCAAATGTCTCACAAGACCACCCTTCGAACCTCTAGCAACCTGCTCCCTGCTTCATATGTCAATGACGGTCGCATTCCTAGTGGCAATCACGTCTGCAAGACGTGACTGCGAAATAGGAGCGTTGATGGCTGAACCACCGTACATGGTATTTACCAAAGACAAAATCATGTTACATCCTCACCCAAAATTCTTGCCCAAAGTGGCTACACATTTTCATATTAACCAAACCATACACTTACCTGCCTTCTATCCCAAGCCACATAAGGATTCTCGAAAAGCAACGTTACCCATGCTAGATGTCAGACGGGCTGTAGCCTTCGACCTGGACAGAACTAAACCATTTAACAAGTCACCAAGACTATTCGTCTCTACAGCAGAGCGCTCTACAATATCGACCCAGATACTCTCCAAATGGGACTCTTCCTGTATTCAAACTTGCTACCACCTACATAACAAAGAACTCCCTGTGGGAATCAGATCCTACTCAACACGAGCCATGGCGACATTGATTGCATTCTTGAACAATGTCCCCTTAATAGACATTTATAGAGCTGCCATCTGGACATCAGAGCACACTTTCACATAGCATTACGCTATCATCCAAGGCCTTGTTTCAGATTCTATTATTGGCCTCACAGTGCTCTCATCACACACTTATACATACCGTTAACGGTACCAGTGAGAATTCAGAAACCAATATGCTTAATGCACTATCATTTATTTGAGAGAGAATCTCACAAGCAGTTAAGGTTACATAGTAGACATCTTTTTCTATAAGCCGTAGCTCCCCAAGCATAAACCCTCAGTAACAGTATCCTGATTGGCAAACAAAGCAGGTATATCTACCGATTCTAGGGGCAGGTCTTCACTACCCGTCGCTAGTGTAGACGCGATAAAATCGATCCCGATGGCGCTCCCCGTCGACCCCGGAACTCCAGCTTGTGAGAGGCGGAAGCGAAGTCGACGGGGGAGTCTCTCGTTGGAGTCTGTTTTTGAAGTTTTTCTGTTGTAATATAGCCACCCGCAGGTCTGTCATCAGGAATCAAAATACTCAAAAACCAGTGGGAGAACACTTTAATCTGTCTGGTCATTCAGTGACAGACCTGCGGGTGGCTATATTACAACAGAAAAACTTCAAAAACAGACTCCAACGAGAGACTGCTGAGCTAGAATTGATATGCAAACTGGACACAATCAACTCCGGTTTGAATAAGGAAGCTGCTTGCCAGGCTGAAGTCTTTGGCTGGCAGCACAGGTGGTTTTGCCTTTCAGGGGGTGTTGCTGCCATTAAGGCTCCTGGGGTGGTTTTGTTCAACATCTTCGTTAATAATTTGGACGATGGGATGGATTACACCCTCAGCAAGTTTGTGGATGACAGTAAGCTGGGGGGAGAGGTAGATATGCTGGAGGGTAGGGATAGGGTCCAGAGTGACCTAGACAAATTTGAGGATTGGGCCAAAAGAAATCTGATGAGGTTCAAGAAGGACAAGTGCAGAGACCTGCACTAAGGACTGAAGAATCCTATGCACTGCTACAGACTGGGGACCGACTGGCTAAGCAGCAGTTCTGCAGAAAAGGACCTGGGGATTACAGTGGACGAGGAGCTGGATATGAGTCAACAGTGCACCCTTGTTGCCAAGAAGGCTAACGGCATATTGGGCTGCATTAGTAGAAACATTGCCAGCAAATCGAGTGAAGTGATTATTCCTCTCTATTCGGCACTGGTGAGGCCACATCTGCAGTATTGCGTCCAGTTTTGGGCCCCCCACTACAGAAAGGATATGGACAAATTGGAGAGAGTCCAGCGGAGGGCAACAAAAATGATTAAGGTGCTGGGGCACATGACTTATGAGGAGAAGCTGAGGGAACTTGGCTTATTTAGTCTGCAGAAGAGAAGAGTGAGGGGGGATTGATAGCAGCCTTCAACTACCTGAAGGGGGTTTCAAAGAGGATGGAGCTCAGCTGTTCTCAGTGGTGGCAGATGACAGAACAAGGAGCAATGGTCTCAAGTTGCAGTGGGGGAGGTCTAAGTTGGATATTAGGAAAAACTATTTCACTAGGAGGGTGGTGAAGCACTGGAATGGGTTACCTAGGGAGGTGGTGGAATCTCCATGCTTAGAGGTTTTTAAGTCCTGGCTTGACAAAGCCCTGGCTGGGATGATTTAGTTGGTGTTGGTCCTGCTTTGAGCAGGGGGTTGGACTAGATGACCTCCCAAGGTCTTTCCAACTCTAATCTTCTATGATTCTTTGACATCCTCAGGAATGAGAGCTTGGCTGAACTTTAACGGATATGCCAGTCGCTCCCAGTGAGACAGGGGAAAGGCCGAGATGCTGTTGCCTGGTGAAGGAGCAGCCACGGGGAGCATGTCCAGCAGCACTTTCTTAACTTTCCTTCCCGTGAGATGGGAGGAAGGCTGTTAGGTCACTTACTCTGTCTCTGTGCTGTTGACAGTGATTCTTCCTCTCTGTCTCTATTCAGAGTGAGAGAGGTGTGTCTGCACAGTGCCCAGAACAAGTAGTCCCTGATCTAGTGCGGTGCCTGAAAGCAGAGCTGTCATGCTGATAGCACACAGCACTTACCCCACCTGGCAGCAGGGAGGGCAAAGCTGCTCCAGCAGGGCTCTTTTCTTTTGCAGTGTTACATTCCAGCAGGCCAGACATTGTACATGGGACTAGGCTGAGACAGTTCCCCAGCAGGACCGGAGGGGACCCAGAAGGTCATAGCAACTGACAAAGCAGCACTTGTTCGCTTGGCTTATGCAAGGAAAGCAACTGGTCAGTGGCACAGACGTGGCCATTGTGCTGTACTACCAGCACAGCCGCTCTCAGGCTCCCAGAAGCTTTGCATCTGGGCCATCTCGAGTGAATCCTTTAGATTCTCAGCCAAGAATAAACCAGTGCTCAGAGCTTTTCACAGGGCCCTGGAAGCAGGCCCCAGTCTTGCTTGGGGATTCAGTCATGCCGTGGAAGCTTTCCACATCCAGAGCGAGCAGGCAGTGAGCTGACTTTATCTGACAACGAGGTCCTTTGTCCTTTCCCTGCTCGGCCCCTGAGCAGTGCAGAGCTGCAACCAGCCCCAGCTCGGAGAAGATCCCCGCTGGGGAGCCGCTAGCTCCGAAATGGTAAGTGAGGGGTGGAGGTGGTTGGCTTTAACTAGGAGGAGAGCTACTCAAAGGGCCTGGGCTGTACCTGGCAGTGCTCTTCATGGCTCAGCTGGAAGTCTAAATGTAGTCAGAGCCTCCTGGGGCAGGGCCTGGGCAAGGAGACTCTCTCCTAGACTTTCCACTGATCCTGAGAGTCAGTGTGGGGGGATAATTCCTTGTCAGCCGGAGCTGCGGGAACTCTTGCTATGGCTGCCTGAAGCCCACAGCAGGTGTGATTCCAGCTACAGAAATGGTGAACCTGGCAGAACAAGAGCCCAGCAATATTTGCCAAAACAGGAATCAGCTCATGTCAAACAAGACATGTTGACCATAGCCCATTTGGAAGCCTGTCTCCTGCAGGCTGCTCATGAGCAGCAGTGTCCTTCCAGCCGCTAGACTATAGCAAGGCCAAGCATAGGAAGGAGCAGTGACATCGTAGCATCTGAAAACCAAGATTGATAGAAAGAGGGGATGGGAAGTGGAGATGAGGAGCCCTCTCTGAGTCATGGCTGGGAAACCATTCAAGCTAGGAATAGGCATTTTTTGTTTGGAAGATATAACACAGAGTGGTGGCTGTGGTGATGAATGAAAGAGCTGGTGAGGGTGAGCAAAGCATGGCTGGCGAGGGGATCCTAGGAGGAGAGTCAGCTGAGCATACTGCTTATCAACTGGCGCCACAGCTCGTGTTCAGAGCAAAGCAAACAGCTAAGCTCATTATGCGGAGTACCACCAAAAGGCAGCAGCCACCTATGGGGGTGATCACACACTGCACCGACAGTGAAGGCAAGGACGCTTTGCCTAAGGAGCTGGGCAAACTGGGACTTGGTGGCTGTGATGGGTTAGACCCCCCCCTTCTGGGATGCCACCTGATGTACTGGGGTTTCACTGAGCCCCTCCTGCTCCACTAGCCTGGATTCCCTCTCCCTGTTTTGCTGAATTAGGCTCTCCGGCCTCTTGCAGCACACACATACAGGTAGGGCCACACCCAGCTGCAGACACAGAATGAAGTCAGCTCTGTGTGAGAGGATTCACCCGGCACACACGTGTACACCCCCTTTGGGGAATAAACCCAAAATAATACTGTCTTGTGCTGTATAGAAAGATCTGCACAGTGTAAGCTCCGAAAAATTCACCCTCTCCCTCAATGTGAAAAGAAATATGCACAACGTCTTGTCCCCCCCCCCCCGCAGTTAGAAATTGCACAAACTGGGATTAATAATAAACAAAACAAATGTATTAACTATAAAAGGCAGATTTTAAGTGATTATAAGGGATAGCAAACAGAACAAAGCAGATTACTGAGCAAATAAAACAAAACACACACACACTAAGCTTATGATCTTAGAGACTACTTTCAAGAAGTAATTTCTTACCCTAAATGTTATTTTAGACAAGTTGCAGAGTTTCTGTAGCTTAGAGTTCCAGTTATTTCTTTTTACAGACTGGACCCCTGTCTCAGTCTGAACTCACCCCTGCCTTTCCCCTCAGGTTAGTTCCTTTGACCACTCAGATACTTTCAGCAGTCTTTCTTCTTGGGTAGGCAATGGAGGAAAGACTAGATTAGCCCCCTCCCAAGCCTTAAAAAGGATTTACCTAAGATGGGAAACCTTTGTCTGATCCCCATCCCCCTATAGAGGAAAAGTACCAGCAGTGTCCAAGGTGGTATTTTGTATCAGATGATCTTATCACCTGACCTTGCAGTGTCAAAGAAACTATGAAACCAGGTTTATTTGCAATGTCCACAGGAAGGAACTCCAGGCAGATGGGAGATCCACATCTTCAAAGAGTCATTGTCTTTTTCTAATGGCCCATTAAGGCTGATTGCATTTCCCCAAGTACATACACAGTTGTAATTGTTATATAGTCAATATTCCTAACTTCAGGTACAGAAATGATACATGCATACAAATTGGATAATCACATTTGGCAAATCATAACCTTTCCAGTGATATCTTACATGAGCCATCTTGCATAAAGTATATCTTAGTTATGTCATATTCATATCATAACCATATTTCTATGACGAATATGGGGTGTAATGTCACAGTGGCAAAGCCCCTTTAATTTTTAGTGGCCCCACAGTACCTTGTATTTTAAGATCCACTCAAAAGCTCCCCAGCAAGGGAACCCCTTGGCATTCCTTGCATTCGTGACGGGCTCCATGACGTGTGCAGCCAGCAGACACTAGTGGGGCATGAACATGCCACCTCCCAGCCACCGATCAGTCTGCACAGATCTAGTAACCAGCTCTCCAGCCATGTGCTGCTTTCCAGAGCTGCCTGAAGTGGAGACGCTCTTATTGTGCAAACAGTTGAATGTTAGACTGCTTCAAAACCTGCGCATGCTGCAATCAGGAGAGTGTCACAGGAGAGTGCCCCTCACCCCACCCCCTTGCACAGCTGATACAATGGTGCCTCACAGCCCCAGAGCCCACGTGGGAGTCCTCCATCTAGGAGAAAAATCCTGGCTTGTCAGACAAATGGTGTGTCATTGATTTCCTTTGAAACATCACTATTAATTATGCCAAAGAGTTTGCTGTAACTCTCAATAGGCAAGAACCTGGCGCTTCTGGTGGCCTCCTGTCCAGCAGCCGAGCTTTTCTAAATGGAAACATCGGGGACTCATTATGTTTGTGCTGCTGCCCACTCGCACTGGGAGCTCCTTGTTTCTTTTCCAGAGCACACCCATCCCCCATTTACAGTGACACTCCAGGCCAGAGTGGAGAGGAGTTGGGGACAAGAGATGTCTTGTCACTGACTGGCCCCTAGTTAATGGGAAAGGAAGGGCCAATGCTGTGCTAACTGCACCCCAGCAAAGCTAGTGAGCCATGGCCAGAGACCTTCACTTCCCCTCAGGCTGCTCAGCAGACCTGCAGGATGTCCCATAGCCGTCAATCATTCAACCTGCTGAGAGAGGCCTAGGAACAGTATCACCAGCCCCAAATTGCTAGAAATCAGCAGTCAGGCCCCCTAATACTGGCTTAATATATAGGAAATTTTCAAAATAATCAGTGTTGGAGGCTTTTATTCACCTCCTGGCTTTTGAGCCTTTGGGTCCCGCTCGGATCATGTTTCCTGGCTTTTCTTCACAATCAGAGGGGTTAGAAATAGATGTTTTAAAATGGAAGATTCTCTTGTAGTGACCTGATTCCAGGAGCTGGGGCTTTAAGGAAAACATCAAATATCACAAGAACTGGCCCCACTGTGGGGAGCCTCAAACCTTGGTAATGAGGCAGGACTGGGACTGCCCCAGCACATTTGGTCACAAGATGTGGCCCTAAAAGCACCCCAGTGCCTGAAGGCCAGGGCTTTCCGGTACTAGCAGTCAGCCTCAGCTGGCCTGACCAGCTTAGCAGACTCAAGCTCACTGGTGTCATAATCTGTGTTTAGAAGGCATCATGGAAGGTGTCATGTGTACACTGGCAACATGCTGGTCATTACTATTATTGTGTGGTGCATGCACAGGTGATATGTGAAAAATAATAAATATGCCCTGGAAATATGTTCTTAAAATGTGGTTGGCAGGTAGGGCTTAAGTCACCTCACCCTGGACAAATGAATGTGGTTCCACCTGCGTGGCTGTGTCTCCAGTGTAAATTCAGCAAAAAGAGAATATACAAGTATATTTACATAAAAGCTAAATACCATAATCAAATTAGGAAATTGGGGAGGCAGCTGCTTAATTATCTGGGTGGGGAAGGGGACTGCAAAAATTCACAATGTGTTAACTCCCTGACGCCCTCAGGAGGACTGCCTGGCTTTGAAAACAAAGATAAACTTTGAGGATAACAGGCAGACAGAAAAAGGCATTTTGGCATCCTTCATCTAAGGGGACAAAGAAAGGCAGCACTTTGGGCTCTGTGTTGGACCCTGGCTAAGGACTGGCCAGCCATCTGGAAGAACATATGTGGTGGGAAAATTACTTTGCTTTGTTAAGTTAGAGTTGAGTCTTATAAGCTTATTTTTACTTTTGTTTGTTTGTAATCATTTCTATCCCAATTGTTTCTACTCGGTATCCCTGAAACATCTGCTCTTTGGTAATAAACTAAATCTTGTTTTATTACACAACCATCTCAGTGCACCTTATCAAATGGAAGGGTAAGATCCTCAGCCAAACTACCAGGCGGTGGAAGGGTAAGATCCTCAGCCAAACTACCAGGCGGGTGCTGTGTCCCATCTCTTGAAAGGAGCAGAGAACTTGGTAAGGTTTTATGAGTGCTGCAGGGAGAGGGGCTGAGCAGTGCAGAGGAGACAGTTTTGGGGAGAGTCGGGACTGAAGTGCTGTTGGTGGTATCACCCTGAGAGGCGTAACCAGGCTGGTGGAAACCAAGGTGAGGCTGTCGTGCTGTGAGCAGGCTGCTGGCATCAGGGTGCTGAGCCAAAGCTGTACAGCACAGAAGCACCCAGCGTTACAGGGAACACAACCCCCTACTGGTCTGGATTGAACCCCCAAAGCATCACTCACGGTAGTGATGGGCCAGCCCGAAGGAGACCAGAAAGCCTGGAAAAAGGAGGCTGAGACCCTTGGAGCTCTCTTGAATGCCTTGACTATTAAGTTAATTCAGACTGAAATGGCTCATCATCTTGGTTTTTATTTCTAGCCTGCAGTAAAGGTAGCACATGTGTCTCAGAACTCCAACGTGCACTCCAGCTCGCAAGGGAACTGGGGAGCCGCCTCCTGCCCCCTCTTCATGTCAGTCACAGCAAGGGGTTTAGGGATACGACTGACTCATATTGCTCCTCTTTGCCCAACTCTGCGGGAGGGAGCTTAAGTTTGTTCCTTCAAAACTGCTGCCTGGGCCTGTCTTCCACAATGGAAGGCTGTGGGACCACACAGGGGTCACGGAGGATCTCCAGCCGACCTGTCAGAATGTGTTCAGGCTGAGTCTGAGCCCTCTTGGTTTCCTAGCCTTCCTAGTATTTGGGCTTTTCTCCTCCTCAGTCATGGGTATACGGCTGATCAGTGCAGACTGAGAGCGA